GCTACTGTGAATAGCACTGCAGTGAACATCGGTGTACAAGTATCTGCTTATGTTCCTCTTTCAGTTCTTTTGGGTATACACCTAGGAGTGGAATTGCTGGATCGTATAGTAATTCTGTGTTTAACTTCTTGGGGACCACACTTCTTGATAGTAGCTGCTGGTTAATTGTCTGTAAGATGCTTTTTAATTGTGCTGAGATGCTGTCTGGTGATAGGAAACACTGCAGGGCATGTCTGTTTTGTAAGGCTGTACAACCTATCTGGGCATACCATGGCAGAGACAATACTACATATTCAAACCATAATATTTGCCTACTGGGCACACAAGGAAGGCCACATTCCCCAGCATCCTTCATCTATTTGGGGCCTTGTACTAATTCTGGTCAATGTAATGTGGGCAGAAGTGATATGTGCCACCTCTTAGTCCTGGCCCCTAATCACCTAAATAACCCTTCATGCTCTCTCTCTTTAGCCTTTGCCCAGTTGAATGCAAAGTATCCAGCAAAAGCCTCCAAAGACTTGGGGGACTACATGGTGACTAGATGGAGAAGCCCAGGTCCCTATGTCTTTGCCTAGAGAGAGGCCACCCAGGAGATCTACCTGACCAGGAACATTCCCATTCCACTGTATATGATGGAGAAATTAGCCTTGATTATGTTAAACCACTGGGTGATATAGCAATTAACCTATCCTGTCTAATACACACATTCCATACACAAAGAGGGCAGAGAAGAAATTTGTTCCTTAGCTTCCCGGTTCCCTTATAAATGTCATAAAGATCACCACAACCTACAAATTGGTGCGGAAATTATAGCTGAAACCAGATCATTATATTCTTCTAAAGAACCTCAACAAATTAAGTAAATGATGAAGAGGGTTTCTGGTATACTTGTCAGACAAAACAGGGACAGCTCCTCCCTCAAGCAGATAAGCCATTCCTATGTCAAGCATTGGGCAGTTGATTGATTTATTCAAGCAAATATTTATTGAGTGCCTGGTCCATACACTAAAAGGAGTTAGGAGACAGTGAAGTGGTTATCAAGATAGACTTAATTCCCTGCCGACAGGCAACAAATAAATAATATACAATAAAAATGTCATGTTGTGATAAGTGCTTCGAAGAACAATAAAACAGGATAAGGGGACAGATTCTGATGGGTCTCTTTTAGAGGTGACTTCTGAGCAAAGACCGGAATGTCTGGGATTCTCTAGGTTGCACGCAGTGGGAGACTGCAAATACTAACTACCTTAAGCTACAGGGGAGTCAGGGGGTGGGGGTAGAAAGCAGGTGGGTTGACTAACAGCACTTCACCTGCATAGCGGTTATAAGACCTGAGGGGCCAGAGTAAAAGCAGACATCTCAGGGCTGCTGTGAGCAGATATAGGAATCCCAAGTAACCATCCATGAGCTCACGGCCTTCAAAGGGAACATTATGGAGTTAGATTCAAATTCAACCAATAATTACTGAGAGCCTATTTTGCAAAGTGCACTACACAGTACACTTTCATATGGTTATTTACCTGCAAGCCTGGCTATTCAACCATGGAAACCTCATTGTGTATAGCTATCCCTGAGGTGACCATATGTCCTAGTTTACCAAGAACGGTTCTGGGTTACAACGGTTGTCCCAAAGAAATTACTAATAGTGTCCCCTTTCATTCTCAAAAAGGTCTTGGTTTGGACAATAAGTTACATTATCACCTAAGGGACCCTTACTGATAATAGATTAATAAGCTCTAAGTTCCTAGGTAGTGTAATTAGCCTTTCATTCAACAAATATTTATTGAGTGCTTTCTAAGTGTCTAGTACTCTGCTCGGTACCTGCAATGCAAAGATGAATAAGACAAGTTCCTTCCCCGGAATACCATATTGTACTTGGGTGAAGCAGATACAGAAACAAATACAACAGAGAGTGCCATGATAGAAATGAGCATGTGGTATTACATACGGGTGATGTTAATATCAGAGACATTGTTCTACTTTGTGGTGGTCCTCATGTAGTTCTTTATTTCCAGAAGAACTGGAAATGAAGTCACTATACCTCTTGTGTACCATTGAGCCCATTCTGACTCATAACGACCCTACAGGACAGAGTAGAACTGCCCCATAGTGTTTCCTAGGCTGTAATCTTAATGGAAGCAGATCAACAGGTGTTTTCTCTGGCGGAGCCACTGGATGTGCTTGAACCACTGATCCTTCGATTAGCAGCCGAACTTCTAACCATTGCACCACGAGGGCTCCTTGTACAGGATCATATTCACCCAGTATTCAATGGGATTTTACAAATCTAACCTAGATTCTTAACTGCTTTTCACAATATCTCCAGCCACCCCTTCCCAATCTCCCAGATCTCCAAAGGGTTCATCTCTTGGACCTTTCTGTCTCAAAACACACTTAATCCTACTGGATCTTATAGTCTCCAGAACTCTCTCCTCCCTATTAGGTGAAGACAAGGCTATAGGGGAAAATAAGACAGGGAGAGGGAAGGAGTCATGAATATCCAAATTCCAGTCATGAATATCTAAATGGCAATCAACATCTCCACTTGGATACCTAATAAGCTTTTCAATCCTAACATATTCAAAAGATTTTCTACACCCTCCTTTCCAATAAACACACTCTCATCTGCTCCTCCCAATTTTTTTTCCTTCCTAGGTAAATGGCAACTGCATCCTTCCAGTTGCTCATACCAAACTTTGTGAGGTCATCTTTGATTCTTCTTTCTTAGAACTTACATCCAATCTTTTAGCAAATTCTGTTGGGTTTGCTTTTGATACAAATCTAGAATCTGACTCCTTATCACCACCTGCTCTACTGATCCAAGCCAGAACCATTTCTTGTCTGGTTTACTACAGAAGCCTCCTAACTGGCCTCCCTGCCCCCTGCGCCCCCCTTTCCCCCACCTTGGGCTGTTCTCAGTACAGCAGACAGAACTACCCTTTTAAAAGACAAGTAAGACCATGCCAGTATTCACTCAAAACCCTCCAGTAGCTCCCCATCTCACCTGCAATAAAAGCCTAAAATCCTTGCTGTTCCCTGTCCCAGGAATGCTTTTCTCCCAGAGAGCTGCATGTTCACTCCCTCACCTCTTTCAGGTCTTTGCTCAAATGTCACTCTAGTGAGGTGCTCTCTGATCACCCTATCTACCGTTCACTCCCCCAGCACTTCCCATCCCTTTTTCCTGTCTTATTTCCCCTCATAGCCTTATCTCCAGCTAATAGGGTTGCCAGATAAAATACAGGACTCAGTTAAATGTAAATTTCAGATAAACAATGAATTATTTTTAAGTATAAGTATGTCCCAAATATTGTATAGGATATACTTATACTAAAATATTATTCATTGTTTATCTCAAATTCACATTTAACTAGGTGTCCTGTATTTTTGTTTGCTAATTCTGACAACCCTGACTTCCAACATGCTGTCTACTTTGCTTATTTGTTTACTGTGTCTCCCCAGTTCTTTTCTCCCCCAACTCAGCCCTTAGAATGTAAATTCAACGAGGACAAGTATTTTTAATCTGTTTTGTTCACTGCTTGATCACCAGCAGCTACATAAGGAATGTTCAATATTCATTGAATGAATGAATGAACGAACAAATGAAGTGATCACAATGCCTCAGTCTGACCATCTCCAGCCTCTAAAGCATCTCTGAACTGCTGTGGTTGTTTGAAAGTACTTTCTTAAATTGCGCCCATTCTAATTGCTTCTCTAGTTTCTGGGACAGTTTCTTTCAGGAGAGGCCCAGAGGTTGAATTCCTGCAGTAGGAGCTGGCCCTATCCTTATGGGGGGTGGGGGGAGTGGAAGAGGGGAAGTGGACAGAGCCTTATCTCCTGGTGGAAACCACTGACCAGGTGCCCTCAAGGGGAGTGCTCTGCTTTGAAGGACAAACACAGAAACCTAGACCGATGACTCTAGGACTCAGGGATTTTCCAACATTTACTAAGCATATGGCTTCTGCATTTCAGTGGTGGTTTTCTCTCTCTTGTAATTGCATTTTCTTCTGTCTGGCTTAGTTTTGCATTTTCAGCGTGAATGAGTCATTTGTTACTTCCCTTTCACATTTTTACAGAACACACACCTTTTCCCCTGTGCATAATCCCTACTCCCACGCAAAGCGCTGCACCCCTGCACATTTAGTTATAACTGGCCGCTGGATGAACCTGGGCTGTGGTGGGGTGGGGGCTGATTCAGGACTGTGCAGTTTACAGACATGCTGCCTGTGATACTACGTGATAGGTGCTGGCGTTATAGACACCAGGCAGTGGAGAGCAGGGAAGTCCTTTCTCCACAGCCAGGCATACCCAACTCCGCCGTGAAATTTCTTTGGAATAAAAGAAGCTTCTGGAAATTCCCTACGGAAAACACAAGTCTCTTATAAGTAAAATTAAAATGAAACTGCCACGAGAATATTTACCAAAATTGTGCAACAACTCCCAACTTTTGAATTAAAACATGAAGAAGATTCACAAAGTTCTAATATCCAGATGCAAATGGCAAGTGTTATTTGTACAAGGGCTTCCCTGCTGTTCTGATAAAGCTTCTCTAAACTCTGTGATTTAACTCGAAAATACTGTAATATTTGCATCCAATATGTGTTGGCTTCATGAAATAACCCAACCAATGAATGGAAACGCAGCCGTCCTGGAGATATCTTCACAAAAACAGCTTTCTTCTCCCATGGCTGCAGCAGTGAGCATTAACGCTGCCGAGTGATATCTATGTCACTGCCTAGAGATACAGCACATACTGACTGCTTGCTATGCTATAAATGTGACATCACCGCACCGCTTACTTCTTTCACTGTTTAAGAAAGCCCTGCCACAGATAATAAAGTCAAGCCCAAGAAATCAGAGCCCTCTACTTAGTGTTGAAAACCCACCACCTCAAGAAATAAGCTTTTTCTTTGCCGTGCGCCCTGTCTCCAGTTATAAAAAGCAGCAAGCGACAAGAGACACGCTTTAATATAACTCCATCTTTGAATGAGTCTGTTACTTACCCTGCATCTGTCTGCTGTCTGCTGAGTAAGGACGGCCCGGCTCAAATTTCTGGCTTTCATTTTCTTCCATTGTCCCTGCCTACGGCACAAGCTCCTCTCTCCCTTAACTTCGGAGCGCAGTTCTCAAAGCTCCCAGAAAGCGCCTGGAAAGGGGCCCGGCGGTGGGAGGAGAGGACGGGTGGGAAATCCCACCCCAAACTAGTCTCCACTACAGTGCAAAGTACCGCTCTCAAGAGTAAACTGCATTCCAGGCGCCGGGCCTGCCCGCGTCCTCAGTCCCTCCGTCTGTCCGTCCGCCCGCGGGACTGGGCCTCTGAGGAATGGGGACTGTGCTCCAGAGGCGCGGCTGCCTCTGCCTCGGGCTGCCCCCCTGCCCGCGCGCTCTGGGAGGCCCCAACAGGTGACGGGCTTTTCTACGCAGGACCCGCGCAGCCACAAACTACTGAGGCTCTGCAGCCAAGCCTTAGGAAGGAAAACATTTCACACATGATTCTGGACACGAACCTTTGCTGGAATCCAGTTCTCTGGTTTCTTTAATCTCAGGCACAGAATGGAACCTCCAAAATAGACTGATATAGTATATTTATAAACAGCAAACCCTCCCCCCTCCCCTTTTTTTAAAGCAATTTGAAAGAAAGAGTATATGCTAAATTTTGTCAAGTAAACACTTACTGGCATTAATTTGTTACAATGTTAGGGTCTGATTAACATTATATATAAAGAAGTAGTGGAGTAATTTCACAGCCAATTTTAATAATCACTTAATCTGGACTTTAAAAAGAGTTTTCGTTCTTTCAGCTTCACTTTCTACAACTTCTCTCCCCTCCCCCAACACACACCCACACCCACACACACACACCCACACACCCACACACACACCCACACACACACACACACACACACACACTTCCTGACCACAAGTCTGAAAGGCAAACTACTAAATCAACCTCTGAATCTCGAGTTAATTACTTTAAAACATCTGAAAGGCAATTAAAATGCTTTTCTTTGAATGGACAGAATTACATCCAACATACCTATTCTCCTTTTAAACTACCTACAAGTATTTATTTTGTTCTTTACCCAGTCCTTGAAAAACCGGCAAATTTCCCAAAAAATGAAAATAAGAGGCACAATATCCACACACAAAAAAAAAAAAGAAGAAGAAGAAGGATGGGAAAATAATCTAAGCAACATTAACTCTGCTATTTCAGATGTTTAAAAGCAACACAATAACTAGTAGGAAGAGTAGGATATTTTAATCTGCAGGCCCCATCATTTGGGGGAAAAAGGACAATGGTTAGCTCGATGACCATACCTTGACCCAATTTACAGCCCGTTCAAGCAAGATTTTAGATTAATTTAGATTAAAAATGTGTTGACTAGAACAATGGTTGGCCTATCCTCCTGATTATGACCTTGGGTCACCTGTGTTTTGGCAGGCTGGGGGACATGTTTTTGCCATTTAGGGCAAAAAGATGCGGAAGCTCATGAAGGACAAAGGATATAGACCAAAAAGAAAGCAGCTATGCCAGAGAGCAAGTTAAAAATCACACCCGGAAACGAACAGAGCCCCTCAACCCCTCACGGGAATTTTCTTGAAATCCAAGAAGACGTGGTGAATCTTCCAGAAAGTTGAAGCTGTGCCTTGGCAGCAGGAGTACAGGTTGCTGGTTTCACAGGGCAGATAACCCAAGTGTTGGTGACTGCAACAGAATTATTTGGGCATGTTGATTTAAAGGAGGAGCTAGTCTTACATGGTTTATGTACTGATGGCCTGCAGGCAAACACCAGATGAATCTTGTTTTACCTTTAGAATTTCTTCAGGTACAAAATGTTTAAGAAGGAAGGAGCTTCTGTATTTGGGTTTTTGGCTGTACCAGCTGTGTTCAGAGCTCCAGGTCCAGATTATTCCTATCTTTGTATAGTTTTTCTGTTGTTAGTTCGTGTTCAATTGATTCTCACTCATGGTAAGTAATCCCATGTGTGTCAGAATAGAACTGGCCTCCACAGGGTTTTCAAGGCTGTGACTTTTTGAAAATAAGTAGATTGCCAGGTCTTTCTTCTGAGGCATCTCTGGGTAGGTTTGAACTGCCAACTTTCTGGCTAGTCATCAAGCACTTAACCATCTGTGCCACCCAGGTGTTGTGTAGTTGTGGTCAAATTATTCATGCCAGAAAGGGGGCGGAGGTTGTGGGTGTGGGGAGAGAGAGACAAAGAGAAATGACACAACACCAGAGCTCTGGACTAAGCCAGATGTCCGTCTACCTGGGCTCTGATACCAACCCCACTTAGGTTTGTAAAGAGCCCAATCCTAGCAGCTCCTACCTGTCACTTGACATAGTACAGAAGCAAAACCCCAAGACAAGGAGACGACAGCATTTAAGCAAAGGAAGCCTGGCAACAACAAACCACACCCTGCCCTGGGGCCTTCCTTGCTAGCTCATCCCTGCTGAAAAGATCCATTTGTTGATGCAGATGACTGCTTCCTGGGGCTGTTTGGAAAGTATTCCAGCAGCCCTCAGGTTTCTGTGGTTCCCCAGATGGGCAAAATAGGGAAAAGGTCTCCCACCAGGTCTGAACTCTTAGTTTCCAGTCAGCCAAAGGAACCCTGTCAGCTGACCATGTGTTCAAGCTGCTCTGAACCTCCCCTCCCCCACAGGCAGAGCAATCGGAGCCTCTGTAGATATTCTATGAAGTAAAACTCTTTGTGGAATGCACAAAAGAAAAAGGCATTAAGAGTGAAGAGAATTAACATAAATCATTAAGAACCATGAAATCTAGACATTTATTAACAGTAAAAAAAAAATGTTCTTCTGAATGGATATAAATGGTTGAACTTTCTGACTATTCCATGAGGAAAAGCTTCTGTTGAGCTAGTTACTGATTCTTTGTTTCTCCTTCTTGAGGAAGCATTATATTAATGCCATTTCTCTGACTATTCCATACGTCTCTCCCCAAAGCAAACAGACCTTACTGAGAACTTCTCTCTGAGCGTGGCCTCTGGAAAATAGTAGTTATATTCTGTAATCTGCATAAACTTGGTAACTCAGATCATCATGAAAAATACTATTATTGCCATTGCTGTTACTATGGAGATGTTTTTCTTTCTGGAAGAAATGCTATTTGAACTAGAAGTACACTGCATTTTTTGGTTTAATTTAATTTCTGGGTTTAAGAATTGCTATTACAATCCGATCAGCCTATTGCTGTACTTTGAAATTTGCTGTGAAAGGCATAAGAAAAGCTGGAAGAACTTGAAATTTGATTTTCCTCCAGTCATATAGAGAGCTACAATAATGATACCAGGGGGCTAAATTTTCAACTTCATTTCTGTTAACTAGGGAAGGTGCGAGTCTATTTCTTGGTTAATGGCTCCATATGTTGGGCAATTCATGACTCAAGAAAGCGTCGTTTTAAAAGAAAAGACAAGTGAGGAGATAAAAGAGTGCTGTAAGGGCAAATGGTGATTTTGCAGTCATAGCTAACCTATTACAGAACAGAGCTATTATTGGTTTTGATAGGGCAACTTAAATGGGCATCCATCACCATGATGGGCATTAATCATAAGGATCATAAACTATTGCGTATGACTTCTCAGCTGGCCTATTTAATTATAGAGCAATGGAAAGCATGTCAATTTCCTTTATGCAGGTTTTCCGAGAGAGAGAGAAATCATTGCTAGAACCAAGCATAAGTTGGATTGCCCTGATATATTTTTTTAAAATGTTTTTCTTTTCCTTTAAATCCTATTAAGAACAAGATAGATAGTATAGAACAGGCTTGCCATCTGGACACAAAAATAATTAATGCTTGCTGAAGTCCATAAAATGTTATTTTCAAAGGCATTGGTAACTAGGAAAATAAAACAAGCAAATAAAATGAAAAACAAGCAGGTCAACAAAAATGTTCCAGTGGGAGGCATCATGTTCTGGTGTGTTACACATGGATATTTCTAAGGGACAGGCTGCTGTGTGTCACCCTCTAAGTCAGGAATAAAGGACTTTTCACAAATGGAAAAGCGTTTGCTTAAACGGATGATCTGGTGAATGTGCAACATAGGATTTCCAATCCTAGTTTTGCCAGCAAGGTGTCAGGTGGCTAGGGTGACCTTCTACTTTATTGTAAACAAGAGCACTCATGACAGTGAAAGGGGCACTCTTACTAATTCTGCCTGGACAGTAAGCAGAAACCGTGACCATCCCTGGCACATCATCACAGATGGAACCTATGTGTGGACCAAGATAACCCCTATGTGTTCCTCAGATTTCCTAAATGTGAAATGACCATAATAATGCTGTTCAGAGTTTTTCAACGAAGGACTCAGAAGAGAATTTTAAGTTTAACCTAAAAACAAAAGTGTAAATCTCTTCAAAGCTAAGTATTATAAGTCCCACCAACAAATTCACATCACAAAGCACAAATTCCACAATATGATACATTTCTGTTGGGTCCATTCATCAAAACAGATTTTTCCTATCTCTGTTTAGGGCAAGAACCTCATAGGTGTGACCAGGTAACTATTTGTACCTGCAGCACTCTCTCCACAGGGTAACCAATCTTCCTTCTCTTATTTGGAGTCCTTAACATCCCAGCATGTCCAAGAACATCCTGCCAGCCCAGGAGAAGTGAGGTGGCCAAGAGCCCCCCAACTCTCAAGTCTCCCTATTCACATGTCTTGCCATTTTCCTTCCTACTCCATGCAAATTTCTCATGTGGTTATATAATAAAGCTGGGCTTAGATCCAATGTGTTAATACTTCAAACATATTTGCTTTCTTTTTAAGAGAATCCATTGATGTTCATTTTTATCGGGGTTTCTTTTATCTATTTTAAGTTGGAAGAATCTGGAGAGCACAGAACATATCTGTAAAACACTGTAGATAGAGTTGCCATCTGTGTAGCACATCATCTAGAAGTTGGTGCTCAGCTTGGCTCCCTGGTCACCACAGGCCAAGTCTGGATTCCAGGTGGCAACTTTTAAGTGAAAATTGTAATATGTATATGCTTACCCCTTTTATTCTAGAGAGAGCTAAATCATGGCGTGTTCCACAAAGTTCCTGAAGAGCCAAGATGGAATCCATAAGACTGTGAGAAATTCCACAGGTTCAAGTACCCTGTTTGCTTCCTTGCTTTACCCAGGGATGCCTTTACCATCCTTTCAATGTAGAAAATTTAATGAGGGCTTGCTGGAAAGGGGCTTCCTGGCCTAATTTCTGCCCCTGGATTTCTCCACATGCTCTCTCTCAAAGGTGCAGTGAGCTAAGGAACCAATCTCAGAGCCAGAGAATTTGGAATCATGTAGTTTACTTCTTCCTATTGCTCTCCATTTTGCAAAC